GTCAGGGTCACCGTGGTGAACTGATACAGTGACCCTATGCTATTTTCTATAATAATTGTTTTATTTTTTCTTTTGCTTGGATGCACACCGATCTGCGCACTTTATAGGTTTAGGAGGACTGACTTGAACGCCTTGCCAGAAGTTAGAGCTTTTAAAACGATCGGATCCTTTTTGTGCTAATCCCTTGTCTGCGTTATGTACTCTTACCATCAGCTGTACAATGGGAAGCCACTAAATGTGAAGAGGATGAAAAGCACTAAAGCGTAAAACGAGGGAAGTGTCTAAGTTCTGTCTCGACTATTTGGTTGCAGGTGCATGTTGCAACTTGTGAAAGCCCGGGGGCAGACAACAGAAATTTTGGCCTAAACCTATGCTGCACGCTTAATTTTCGGTCAGTTAATTTTTGGCGTTCCACTCGCTGACATTCGCATAGGTTGTTGTTTTGAAAAAAAAAACAGCTGTGAAAAACATCAATCCACGGAAGTGATGCAGCGACCCGTTCGCTTAGCACCTGAAAGCTGTGTCGCGCACTTCGGTTGCTGTCATTTATCCGGGTAAGGATTCGTTATTAAAAAAACAATAGTACTTTTAGATAAATAAGTTGACGGGAAGAGGATTTAATTTTGAAAGCTATACCTTTCTTAGAGAAATTTATCGAAAGCAATAAAAACGCTTCGTGGCCGATTGACGTGAATTTATATAACATTGTTTTAAATACAGTCGACAATAATAAACAACTATATACATATATATATATATATATATACACATATACATATATGTATTGGAATGTCACTTAGCGTGAATTGCGCTGACTCATCGCAGTCGGGCGATGAAGTTCCTAGCTTGCACAGAACGCGGTCAATGATATCGCACAAAGCGTAATTTTTTCGTTGACGTTTGATACTAAATCGGAACTCTGAAACGCATTGTGTCGTTTATAGCCGGTCTATTCAGTTCACCTACATCATCCTTAAATCTAGCGTTTCTAGCAGAAAAAGGCAAGCGCTGAAGCTTAAGCATGCCAGACCTACTGATCGTTAAGGCTAAATGCACTAGGAGCTTTGACAATCCATCTAGGTCTTACTTTACTACGGGATACGCACTCGTGCTATCCGGTGGCCATAGTTTTCCGACGTTGACTTTTACCGTCCGGCAAGACATCGTGACACAAAACGCAATGGGGCGAGCGACAGTGGACAAGTGCGACTGATGTCCATTGAGGTCTACTTTGGCGCAGGCACCTGTGCATCTAGATATGCACACCTGTGCATTCATGTGCTAGTCAAAGTGAGAAAACTTCTGTGCTGCTTATTATCGTGATGACCATTAGCAGGCCGGGATCAAGTTTGGATTAGGTTTCTGTGTTATCAAGCACTAGCACATGCCGCAAAGAAGGAACAGTGATTATTTTTTTGTATTCCCTTCCTCTACTTGTGGCCTTGGCAAATACGTTGAGTGTTATTAATCGAGTGAAAGCTAATGTGGGAAACGGTGATGACCTGGTAGATTTCTCAAGGAAAAAACATTCCTCACAGGTAGAAATGAATCAATAAATCTTATGTACTGCCCATTCTGGAACGACGCGTATGATCTTCAGCGGTAAGGTGACTTTCAATTACGGCTCAGGCTCTTTTCTCCGGATAGGACAAGTGTCGAAAGGAAGACCACGTGGCAGGGTACAAATAAAATAGGAAAGATAAGAAATTTGACACGAAGACGTAGTAAAAAGAATTGCGCCAGGAAGAGGACCGCGCAGCGATATCAAATGTTTATATGAGCTCGTATATAGGACTCCCGCATTTAGGAAATTTTGCAGCAGGCAATCTTTGTAATTAAGTTCGAAGGCAAAATATCACACGCCTGATAGCTGAGTGTGTGCAATCAGCTAACTCAACGAGTTTGCTAGTAAATACGGGCTTAGGTTTGTATTCTAGACTCATCTATACTGAATAGAACATAAATGCTCCTACTGTATTTAAACCAGAATTGTATCACACTAACGTATTACTGACTTATTTCTACTACCACGAAGTGATGCAGGCTAGAAAAATGGGACATTATGTACCTGTGGAAACAGCACATCAACATGAGTGTGCCGAAGACGTCAGGTCGGTAAAATAGTTGAAGTCAGATCAGAGGCTTTCATGTAGGGTGTAAGAAGTTCTTTGACCTCGTAAGTTAACGTATTTTTTAGAACAATATTTGTTGTTACCTTATTTTAGGTGGCGATAGATGTCGAGCTATGGTTCACGAACCGGCTTTTTTTTCGGGACTTTATTTATCTTTCCGTGACTGGCTTGTTGTCTTGGCGCGACGATAATACGGGCTGGTTTACTATACCTGCCACGCGTCTTGAATCGGCTCTTAAGCATGATTGAAAATACGAACCTTAATAAGCGAGAATCTAAACTCATAAACATACGCAAGTGGTAAAGCAATTACTCGAACGTAGACCTATAATCTTTGTGCTAATTATCATATATACAAAAAGATCCACCAAACATACATAAGGACTCGACTCCTAAAACGATTCATTGCCGATCTTAAAGACTCGCGCACATTACAGAAGACTCGTAAACTTTATCTGGAAGATATGTCGCTTTTGAGCAAAGCTGTTAGTAAACCGTTTCAGCAACATCTGCAATGTGGGTTCTGGGTTATCTTTTGCATGATAGAAGCGCACTTGGATCAATGTTTTGTACTCCGTTAAGATGATCAGATAGATATTCACGTCGTACATAAAATCAAGCACGATCGATATATTCAAATACTTTATTCTGACAGTTGTGATTAAGTTATAAGGGTGGCATTGTGGCTAACCGTCAAATATTGTTGGGGCGTATGAACTTTAACATTGTAAACGATAAACTTAGGCCTGCAAACTAGCATACTAAGCTACCATTTACAATTGGCTTACTTCTTACTAAAAAATCTTACATAAAAAGATTCGAAACCGCTACAGGTTCGAATCCTCCCAGATCCCTCAAAAATGGTTGGCGTTTTCATGAGTACTTATATTAAATGAAGTTGGAATCAATGAAATTGGAAACAACTAGACCACTTATGATCCTTAAAATCTTTCTCACAAAAAATCCGAATAAGAGAAACTGTTTCGTCAGTTGCAAGCCGTAGACTAACAACCTATTGCATCAATTTGTAAAGCCTTTCTCGACTAAATGCTAAATCTGTACCGGTGCACTGACAGCAATTTTGCCTGCTATATTTTAGGCCCAAAACTACCAGTTTTGATCTGGATGTAAAAAGAGACTTTTCAATGCGGGATACGACCAGCCGTTCGAAGCAATGTTGAGTAGCATTTGCACCAGAAACAGGTGGAACTGCACGCAAAACATTTGAATGAAGTCCTCTACCGATGACCGAGAACTATGAGCGCTCTAAGCGCCGAAAGTATCTTTACGCAATTCAAATAAGGTAATCAACAAACACTGATTGATAGATACGGACGCAAAAGATGTTGTGAGGAGGGCATTGCTGTCGAGAGATTTTGTCAACTTAACGACATCTCGAAGGGTGCCTGATCTACTTTTATCGTCAGAGTAAGGGCGGAGTTGGCGGATCGAATGGGAAAACCAGGACCGAAACTATTTTTCAATAAGGTGGAGCTTCAGTCGTATTAATGTTTTCAACAACTGTCTGAATCTGCCAGGCAGAAGGCTGTCTTGCCAGTTATACATTATCGTAGCTTTATTGATGTATGTCACCGAATGCACCGAAAGCCGCAATCGGTTGCAGAAAAGTCGATCTTTTTTGACATAGAAGCCGAGCATTGTTTGCTTTTAGACAGAGCCCACCAAACACTACGATCAATAGAGATGAGGACAATAATATTTTTACTGGCCTAATATGGACACAAACATTTAATATCTAAAAGTATGGAGTTGTCGATAACTTTCGTTCTAGCGGTCGCCTGCCATAAACGTAGACCACGTACAGCGTGTACCTTGCACTAGCCAATGTTTATGCTCGCATTGTACTTGGCTATCACTATTCACTGAAGACCTTTTCAAACGAATAGAAATAAACAGTCACTGAAGAATGAACGCCCATGACAACAGCAAGTCTTATATCACAGAGAAGGTCTTATGAAAGTTGAACGACCTCTTCCCGGGGCCTCTGTCGTACAAAGTATGTAAAACGGGCGCTCGAACGCAAGCGACACGCCCCTTAAATTACCTCGGGATAACTAACGATGAAAGAATGGGTCGGGGATTTTGAACGGAGATGAGTGCTTCGTGTCGACAAGGGCAAGAAGGGCTGCATATTCCAATAACAGCTATTCTTACCTCGAGCACACATACGTCATATATATATATATATATATATATATAGAGGTAAAACCATGCATTTGCCACCTATGTGTTGCATTATGAAGAATAATTATAATAGAATATAATAATGGTAGTAGAAAAATAATAACACATAACACTATAACAGTAAAACCATTGCAGATATTTGTCTGTAATGGTCACTGTTTGTCATTATTATATGGAGTATCGCATGGGTACGACATAACATGAGGTAAAAGAAGGAGTTAGCTAGGGGGGGTGCCTATTTCGATAGACGTTCAAATTCTTTTTTAGCGGCATGTTAGTTTCGAAACCGTCGCAATAAACTTTGTCTGTCTACCTCTAATACTCAAACGTAATGCCGTTTTTCGTTTCCGTAATGTAACCAAACTAACTAGTTTCTTCGATATATATTAAATGTACCCCGCCTGTTACGGCGTGTGTAGCCGCTAATTTCTCGCGGTTAATTATATAGCGTCCTGTTTTCAGGTGACACAGTCAACCGGCATAGCTTCTTAGAAGAGTTGACCAGTGTGCATTTACGCTAGGACACACATTTTTTTGCTCCTGTAAAGGGAATAGCTTAATTTTGACTCGTGTTCTGTTCGAAGTATCGTAATAGATTTCCTCACGACTACTCATCACACCCGTATCAAAATGATTATTGATTCAAATGGTATTTGTTTGCAGTATTTGTCTCGAGCGATTCTCATCTCCCATCCTGTGCGTACAGCGGCAAGCGAATCAGCAATGAAGCCTCGGCTAGCCCTCGTGCTCACAGATACTAGACCCAATTGAAAAGGAAAAAGGTTGTGGGTTTACTCAAACAAACCTTTCATAACGTTCTGAATAACTGTAAAAGGCAACTTGTGTGCTGGAGGTATCTGGTTGAAATGATAGATACGCACCCCCCAAGACTCGACCCAGCTTACCGATTATAGTCGCTAACGCATTACCGATGAAAATTGCGCAGAGAATACTAAACATCGCGCAGGTAACGTTGATATCCTATGATTCCTCAGTCGCACGTCTCGTCTATCTACAAGTTCAACCACACTCTAAATACCTATGTACATTCGATGTTAGACGTTTAAAAAATTTGTATATAAGACACCGTAATTTAGTGTATTGAGTGTATTTCTGCAAATAATTGTTTTTTTTTTTTTTTTTTTTCGTCTATTTTGTCAGCACAAACAATGCGACATCGGTTTGTTCGTATGCCAAAGTGTAAGCTATGTTTTGCATTACGCCAACTCGAGAATATAACACTGCCTTACTCTCTACAAACATTATCTTTAACAAAATACGAACTTTAACGACTATGTAATAGGGCTTACGTGTCGAAACAATTATGTAGCTACAATTACTAAATGAATGTAAAAAAAACTTCAAGTCTAGCGGGATGTGTGTGCAGAAATCGAAAAACTATATAAAATGCCATACGTTTCATCAGCCTTCTTGACACTCAAAGACATCTGACTGTGTTGAGACATTGAAAAGCATAGCATTTACAAAAAATATTAATAAACATTTCTTGACACGCTTGCCAGCAAATCTTCTACTGACACTTAACTAAGTTCCACCTATTTTATCTAACTGAATCGTAAACAAGCTAAGCTAAGACATTAGCTCAATGCCTCTGTTTCTTCTGTTAAATGAAATAAGCAAGTTCTGTGCTGTATGCGAGTCCTTCGAGTAAATCCAGTACCTAAATTAGGATCACTGGACAGCCCAAATGAGTCCTCGATAAACAAACTACTAAAATAAACCCCATTACCGAAACAGGTTTACGGAGTGACAGGTTGTCTCGAGCATTGCGGTCGGTCAGCTAAAAGAGAGCAATGAATAATCTGCAGCGCCATAATCGTACGCAATTGGGCCGACGATAGTGATGAAATCGAGTGACAAAACAGTTACGGCCAGTACAAGACCGGGCCTAGGTTAGAACAGCCGAACCTGCTTTGCATAGGTTAGCTGAGAAAATTATAGTATAGTTTTGGGTAACATCGAAGGCACATGTGCATTGCAGACTTCATTCAAGAAGTGGGTGAATATTTTTACATGCTTAATGTTCTATTCTATGTAACAATTCTAGCCACGTTCGCGATGTCTTTAATGTAAACGTTCTCAATGATACTCATAACCCTGCTATTGCAACCCTTTTCCATTTAGCAATAAACGTTGATACGTTCCGTACGGCTTCGCAGTTCATATTGTGCGTTTATTTGGTCGCAGGGGATGAACAAATTAAGTTATCTCCAAAAAACGTAACCTTAGAACTTGACTGGTAAACAATGATGTAGATACTTGAAATTGCCCTCTCAGATTTGCTATGACAAACGATTCACGGAAAATTTTCATACGGCTTAATACAATAGATTAAAGCAGTGTTTTCTGTGGATCGTCTATTAAGGAATATTCAAACTTAAATTATGTACCTGTTCGTTAATATATGAAATAGCTCAATGCTCTCGTATTTGCTTGCGATAGGTTTACATTTTTTGAAATTATATGTTTAGCTGATTAAAAAGTCAAGTGAAACTTGAAACAAAGGACTTCTGTGAATATTAAGTATTTCTGACACAAGTTTTCCGTCGGAAGTTGCCTCAGCGTCTTAAAAAATAGGATCAATTGGAATACTACGAGGATTTCGTCTCAAAAAAAAAAGCTATCAAGGTTCGGGCTAGAATAACGCTATGAAGACGGGGAGTTTGCAGGAGAACAGTATTTCAATTTTGAAAGGACTACCACATTATGTGCCTTGTCATTGACAGTAAAGCCGAGAAATCTGCGCGAATAATAAGCGCTGACGCAGTCTGGATGATTAATGCATATCTCTTTGAATAGGTTGCCATGGTTAAATGTTTACCATGTTGTTTTATAGATATGCTGAAGAAATCATAAATAAGTTCAGTAAGTTACACCTCGTTTAGAGCTTCTAGTGGGAGTAAGTCCTTGGTGCTATACTTAAAGAAGTTACTCAAAAGACTAGTTCGCACAAAATAAAAAGCCTAACATGATAAAAAAAATCTATGCTATAAAAAAACCAACCCGTATTAAGCATGGTCTTTTTGAGGAAGTTCTAAGTTCCTAAGACGAGTTGCAGTATGAGCTTCAATGGCTTTATCTGGCCGTATATTACAGAATATCTCTGTCTGTTAGGTGAATGTTACGCCAATTTCTCAGAGTTTTAAATAATAAGAAATCTGAGTAAAACATAAACGTTTTTTGCTTTGAAAATAAATCTCTCTTTTCAAATTCGTTTTAAGTATCGTCAGATGTGGCACTGTTGAATCCAGTTGCGCCAGTGTTGCAGTGTTGCGCCAGAGGCACAGTTCGGACAAAATCAGGAGAAAAACAAAAAAAATCAAACAGAGCACCTCTGGCCTTTTCATATATAAAACGTGTATAGTATACGCATCAGTGTAAATTATCTATAATAAGCAATAAGCAAAAAAGCGAATCCCAGCTAATGATATTTCAGTCGACGCAATGATTAGAGATGATGCGCTGACACTAAACCAATACTGTTAAATATTATATTATATACTATACATCAGATAAGCCTTGCTTGTTTTATACTAGTATACGTAAATAACGTATAACACCTTATCTTCATCCAGGTTGTACGGCACCCAAATCCTAAATTTCAGTAGCCGTGTCGTAATATACTGTCCACTTAATGGCTGTCTGAAAAATATTACGGGGCTTCGAAACTTATATATTTCGAGCTTCTCCCTCTTCGATAAGCAGCCCCGAAATCTCGTATGAGATATATAAGCGAAGGTGCCTGACACGGTGAAAAACAAAGGGTTATACCAATCAGATGCGCTCGGGTCAGTCCTCTTCCTGTTGGCCTAATATTTTCAACACGTGTACCTGTAAACGTCTCTGTTGTAAGGTGGCTGGCAACATCATAGGGGCGTTCCAGATATCCTAAAGTACGTCAAGTATCGTTAAGATTGTTACCAACGATCTTCAAACATAATCCTTATTACTAATCAATGGCGAGAGTTTGTTCAATTCCAATCTGTTTGTTCAGTTTACGTTTAGAGATTTGTAAACGGTTAGCTTCAGAGCTTCAAATGTTCTTTACCCAGTGATCGTTGTTAAGATTAGTCATGTGATACCTACGGATGTAGCATGATAAGGCTTTCGATAATCCGTCGACTGACGTCTGGTAAAAAATAAGCAGAAATATCAGGGTCGTGGAGCATACGGACATGAAGAAATGACAATTGTGGACAAACATCACCGAATGTGCCGTAAACTTCAGCTGTTTGATATAGTATCGACCTCGGCAAAACAGGTCTTTTAATACGGACAGTAAAACGAGAAATGCGGAGTAAAAAAAACATAAACATGATTTAAAAAAAAAAGGGAAACAAGAGATTTAATGTTCACTTTTTGTTGACTTTCGATTTAAATTATCTATAATGCAGAGTCAAACTTCGCTATAGATAGTAAATCGGGCGTGTTTATGTCATTTTTCTAGGATTTATAATGCTTACAATTAATATGCTCTGGGTAACGCTCAGCGAAGTTGCACCATAAAAATTAATGGCGAGTCAACGAAGACTCTGGCTTCATAGAGAATACTAAATCAAATTTAACCCTCTACCCTAACCTAATTGTGAGGCCTTATATATATTGTTCGTTGTAACTAGGAAGTCATCTTCGCCCTGAACTGTCATAGCCGGTCCTATCTGGGTAGATTCGTGCATCGCCCTACGAATCTGCATGGTGATGCGGGTGGATAGTTCGGACGTGGCCATATAAAAACAATATTATAGCCAACTGTGAAGAACTTACGAATTAATAAAGCAAGCGAAAATAGCTCGAAAGAAATTGTAAAGAATAGTTGAAAAATCACTTGTCAACAAATAAGATCACATAAATACAAACATGTACGTAAACGAACTTTTTTGTTAGCGTGATACAACTAACGGAATAGCGATACGGCACAAACGTGGTACAACTTATATAGAGCATTCACTTACTAACACCCGGAACTATACATGTACTAAACACATTGAATGTCACACATACATATACAATAGTGCTACTTTTACCAATCTAATCTAAAGCAAGTTAAAATCTGTTTGGCTTGAACCCGAATCCCGAACAGAAACGCGTTTATGCCGCTCTGTCATCGTGTTTCATTGTCTCTATTATCCAGTTACGTTGTCTTTATAAAGTTTTCTCAATATCGTTTTTCCACTGCTCCGTTTCAACGAATGCTTAAATTTCGTTCGTGAGTTTCGTTATCGTGCAATTTTATTATTTTTGATTAACGAGTTTACTATCTTTGTTCAAAAAATTGTTTCAACTTATAGTTACTGTTAGACATTCTGACATTTTAGTCATCTTGTAATTTGCCGCAGGTACCTCTTATTCCCCTGTGTACAATACATTGCGCCATTATTACAGTTTAGCCACTATCGTTGGCTACCGGTGAACTGTTGCCGGCGCCCATCTATTCCGCTATTCCAGGATAAAGCTAATCACGACATTCAATTGCCATGTAAATGTTGAACCCCTTGACAAACTAAGCAAGTAAGAAACATTGAACATCGCTACCTTTTAGAGACGTTCACTGGTGCTCTAAAAAACGTTGTCTTTTTTTCCCCCGATGACAGAAATTATTTTTTTGTCCATTATAAACAGTTTGAGATTTAGTAATGATAGTAATAGAGCTTTACTACAGTGTTTCCTCGATGCGTTAAGGCGACACGCCGTAAATTTAACAGCCGCTGGAGTCGTATTCGAAATGGTCGGCACATAGCCATCTAAAGAAAATCATACCTGTCTAGGGATATAGATTATTGCGACACAGAAAGCCCGACACATATTTATAGCGTCATATAAAATATATCCAAACGCGACAAGCAATCCTCAGTTTTACACAGTAAAAATATTGGCACGCAACTCTTAAGTAAAGCTGTCCTAATTTGCAAGGAACATAGCAGAATGTGTCTCACCTTGTATAAGCTAGGAGTACGAAAACTAAGGCCTAGTGGGGCACGAATATAGGCCAATTAGTTTCTATAAGCCTTGCCCAATCGTACGTATTGTGGTGCATTGCAAAAGGCTTTAGGTGGATCTATGAAGACACAATCTACATAAAAACAATGTGCAATATAGAGGCTATGGTTTAATAAACTACTTCGGCTGCCAGACAAAATAAAATTTGCACCAAAAATGAGCCAACTCAATAAACAGTACATTACTTTCGTTTAGATTAGAATTCGAGGCATAACGCATTAATGCCTACTGGGTATATCTAGTGAGTCGAGGAAGGTAGCGTCATGACCCTCGAACGTAGGAGTATAAATGGGTACCTAGCCGCTAATGGACCCTCATGAAATATCCGGCCAAGTAAGTAAAGTCACCCTCCACAACATGGGGGTATATCGAGGTACCCTACATCAAAGAAGCTCTCAATGTTTTTACAGTAACATGTACAATATTCTCTAGCGGTATTGTAACAAGAAGATCTTCGGGTTAATTACGCGGCGCTATTAAATTTAAACATATATAAAATTAAATTTTAAACATACATAAACTAGCCTAAAGCGTTGAACCAGCCGTGGAGACGTTGCAAAGTACAAGAAACAGTCGTGTACACAAAAAAAAAGGCCAAATATTTACGAGGAACGGGGATCGGATAAAGAAAAAAGGAGAGTCGTCTGCGAACATCTAGTCAATTGTCTTTTGCTAGGCGATAGAGCGAAAATGCTCAATTTCTCAATCAATTCCGTTTCTAGATGCCTAGCCCTTAAAATAGGGTCTCGCGCTTAATCCTTTTCGTTGCCTTTTCGGTTGAACGATCAACACGCCATGACAAACAAAATGGTCACAGCAAAGCTTTTCGTACGTTATAAAATGTATATTTTTTACGTCATGTTATTATTATTTTCGTCGTTACTAGTACACCGGTGGTAGCATCATTCACAGCTTCGTTGGAAACTCTATAGGAGCGCCGCAATTGGCATATCCGTTTGCCCATAAAGGTACACTAGGGTGCGAAAGACCGCATTCGGTCGTTTATTTTGTATTACTCATCAAGACAATACGCTTGGTAGCCGTAGATTTTAAGTGTAAAAAAAACTTCACAGTTAAACAGGCTGAAAAACATTGAATATCTTCAAGGTACTGAAGAAATCGCGTTTTCGACGCTGAAGCGAACGAGCGGAGCATCATTCGTAGAGCCTAATGTCGTCCGATCAGTTCTGACAGTCTCTTTACATTTATCTCGAGCATGTTGTACTCTCGAAGTTAACTAGAACCCTTATTGCAAATGCTTGAAAAACACGGGTTATTATTATTATTAAAAACACGGAAGCGTATAACTAGCTAAGGTCGTACCCCATGCAACTGCGGAACCTGGGTTTGTGTTAATTTGAGAGAACTGATTCGTTGTCTAGCGAATAATACTTTTTTCCGCGGCTGACCCTTAGCCTATAATTTTTATATATCGACTCAACCCAGCTCAGAATCACGAGATGTTACTATGGAGATCATCCACTGAACAAAGTCCACAACACAACTGCGGTTACTTCAGCGAAGTGTCAATGCTCCGACTTGAAGCACTATTTGTCATTTTACTTTCGGTTGGTTATTGGCTATCCACTAGCTAGAACATCGTATGGAACACGTAACAAAGCGAGATCAAGAAGGTTAGCCATACACAGTATAATGGTAATGATACGAATAGTCAATATACCAGAACAAGTAGCGTTATTTGATGATGAATAAGAGGTGTTTGCTGATTCAAGAGAAACTATTTAAGTTTTATCTAATTGTTTGTCATAACTTACATTAACAGGGACCATAATTTCGTTCATGCCGATGGCAAATGCGAGGAATTTCAGTAAACGTGCGCCGCATGACAGATACGCGTCGCATTAACAGGAAATGAACTGGTGTCTTTTGCCCTGATGTATCTCATCCACAGCTAATTCCCTGTACATTTGTGTTTTACCAACCGTTGACGATACGGCGGCGAATATTGTAGTGCCGACCATGAGGGCCAGCAATGTTCCGATTTGCCCATTGGGCCATTACAGCTGGCGGGGCTGTTCGAGATACGAAAGCCTCCACGAGGGAGAAAAATAGTCCAACAGCTCGAGAAACGTTCGTTGGGGCCGAGGCGAGGCGAGGATAACCATGAAAGAAGCAATCGGACAGCGGGGCAAATATGAAGCAGTGGAAATGCCACCACAGCTTGTATGTCGGACATAACAACATCGGCACCTACGTAACACAGCCATAGAACGAGGGAATTATTTGTATATGACCTACGTTCAGTTCTTCTTCGTAGCACGTTTCTATCACTATGATATAGCAGATCGTCTATAGATTGTAACGTGTAACATAGCCAAATGTGACCTTAGAGTTATACTGAATCAATGAATAAGCTCAGCTGAAAGTTCCCTACAGTTATACGGTTTGATTGACCGAGTTGACTTGACGCTAATAATAAGACAGTGTTTACTCATCTTATCTAAGTAAATCTTCAATAGATATAAAAAGAAAACCATCATTGAGATTTTTCGGTACATGGCGCGTTTATGTTAAATCATTGTCGAATAGTCTACTCGAGAGAAATTGCTGTGGATTTAAAAACGCTTTTCTGTTTTTACATTCGTTCTCAGACTCGTTATGTTTACTTTAGTGAACTCGTAGTAGCTATACGATACTTCATGACTGCACGAGCTGCCTACCCTGTCAATCATATTGGACGGCATCAGCACAGTCTATCGGACGTAAAAGTGTTATGAGAACCACGGATTTAGGCGTTTGCTCGAAGTTCTCCATGAGGTTCCAGTGATGATTAAAAGATTGACAAAGTAGGAAGCCAGCGATGGCATGATACGGTTGATTCGAAATTCTTTCGGCCATTACCATGAACCTGAGAAAGGAAAAAAATAATGTGTAACATTATCGAAATGTGTAATTTTTGCCATACGATTCAAACCACTTGAGGTTTGCGCAATCCCAAATACAAAATAACAACGATGTAAAACACTGTGTAGTTTTCAAACCCAAAAATTGATTATAACTTCGATTTGTATGTTGCCATTTTAGGGACGTAATAGATTACGACTGTTATTAAATCTAGGACTTCGGCTGGATTGGCTGTCCACCTGTCATATCGTCCGTGAACGCGCATGGCTTTTTCAACAGATCTGTCGTACGGGTGACACCCACTATGACTTTTGGATAATTTTGTTTTTCTATCTAGACAAACTGCGTTGACACGTAACGTGACGTTTGAAGACAACGACTGAAAAACGAGCGGTCCACAGAGATCTGCTTGACGGTTATTTAACTTTACGTGACATGTATATTCAGATGATACGTTATGATAGTTCGCAATAGACCATGACGTTACATGTATTGGCCATGCCGCTACGCTATTGCGGTGTAAAGATAGTGCAATATTTGCTCTTCATCCATGTTGGCCATTATGTTTGTTATTCGAGCATCGATCATACGGAAGTCTACCCGTTATGAGACTCGATTAGCTACCGTGACGGGCCCAGCATTATAAGCGAGCAATCAACCACACTGACTCAATCACCCCCCACGTAATTGACGGTCAAGGAAAAACGGCATCAAATATTACGTATTTATAGTGAGATATGGCTCGCTTTTCATGTTCACAACGTCCTTGTTAGCTGCCGATGCCGAAATCATATAGTAAAAATCAATCAGGTACTCATATAGCGAGTCTCGCTTATTAGTGAATGGATATACATATAGCAGTAAGGACTTCGGAGTTGTCAAGCTTGCATGCAAACCTGTATGATCACTATCGCTCCGGAGGCTGGACTAAGACAATAGTAAATATGGCACAAAATCAACTTGATAAGTTACTTAACATTGCTTAACAATGTGCATTAGAAAGGCAAGTTAATTGATTTCAGGTGCCATTGGAATAAGCGAAAATAACACTGCTACCTTTAAAGTGGGTCCGATGCATAAACAATTGCCCGCCAAAAATTATAAGGTCGTAATGGTTCTTATCTGATTCAATTCGCAAACTACAAAGCAAAGTACGTATCAGTCGTCATCTCCGCGTACTTCAGCCTATCTCTGAGTTCATGCGGGCATCGATTCTAGGCCACCTGTATGAACTCATTGACATAATGTACGTAACGGCATGCTAGGTACGTTGGCATCAAACGATTCTGAAACGTCGCACACCGCCGGCGTCAAATGTGTGACGCTCACAGCCTTTAGTAACCATAGTAGCCTATAAGTGACTACATATCTAAAATGCACCCTATATACACCCGTTAGTAAATAGTAGCGGACACGCTGTGACCTTTGCTGACATAAGATCCGTGACACCAGCACACAAAGAGGGTTAAGAGGTACACTTGACTGGGTTTGATGTTGATGTGCCAAAAGGTATCGTTCTGCCGGCAGGGTGATCAAGGCCTAATTTTCCACTGTACTTAATTTTAAGTGAAAACGCATTTAGAGATAATAACATATGCCACACATGATATAAAAATTTTGGACATGATTTTACTGCACTTTAGCTCTTTAAAAAATGAAAGAGTTTTGCGAAAAAGGCCCATAATATTTTTCCTGGTTTTTAATTTCATATTTATTTTTTCTAAAGGCTTTTGATGCCTTGAAAAATGCAATAGCACGTCTCGGAGGCTCACAACACGAGCTCTTCAAAGGCTGGCCAAAACGGCAAGCGTAAACAGGCGTAAGCAAAAGACCTTCAATCTAACGAAATTGATGTTTTTACCACGGCTCAATTTCACCAGCAGTTGTGCCACGAACAAAAGAAATCAACTCTAATTATTCAGTAAAGTTGTTTTTTTTAAACTATAATTTAGTTCCTATTTAAAAGTTTATTTTAGCCAAGGTGGACTTAGGTCGATTGTGAGCAAGAACTTATGCCTTACCATAAACTTTGATGACAATCACATGACGGTCAGACCTCGTTCTTCCGATGTTTGTTAATGAGTATTGTATAGTATATAAGTGTTTTAACTGGCATCCAGACTTGAAAAAAAATTGTCCTCTAACAGGGGGTATACTTTGAACCTCTTGAGTGTTCTCTCTAAAGTGTTCATAATAAACACTCTAATCGTATAGGTGTTTTCTTAAATTTAAAGAAAATATTGACCTTTTTGTGACCAAATGATTGGCCATGAAGAGCTTAGAGTTCGGCCTACAATTTAAAATAATATTTAAAGCAAACATGGGATAGACGTACTGCATGGATGTCCAAAGCTAATGAAATAACCCCGATAAATTGAGACAAGATACAAGTTTCGTTGCTGATACAAATGTCGTTGATCTGCCACGTGGAGCTTCCCTGTAAGAGACGGCTGATGACTGATGTTGTTAACTACTTACCCGCCATAAATGCAATTGCCATTATCGGTTTGCGTTGAGCCGAAGCCATTAGCTCAGGGTGTTGACGCCGTTCGGATAAAATCGACCGGCACAATTTCAAATAGGCCATATATCATTCATATTGTCCTTGAACGTACGTACGTAGATCTAATATGTTGTTGCATTGTTGGCGCAGGCAAAATAGCTTTTTAGTTGTTATAGACTTAGAAGAAGCCACTGCTCGTACTTGTTAATTCTCTTAGCTTTATTGAATCATCTTCTATCTAATAAAACGTTTTGATACGTGCGTAAGAGCAGTCACAAAATATAGTCGTTTATTTATTAAACACGTCCTATGGATGTGATGTTAAGTTGACCTCCAGTGATTATTCTGTGTGGGCAGTCGTCCTCTGGGTATCTATTCGAATATTGGTCTGCTGAATGTGTTTGAGGCACCATGGGCCAGGTTGACCATTGTCCAAGCGATTTACTACCTGGCAATTTTATTATTTACTGTTAAGGTAAAGCTTTCGACGACCACGGCATTCTTTTGCAACCTCTAATGATTCAGGAATCTTCGGTAGCTTGGTGTCCAATAAAATCAGTGTGAGAACGCCTTTTTCTGACCCTCAAAATCGTTCAATGTAATAAGCATAGAGATGCACAAATTTAAGCCAAGTTAACAACTGGTCCTGATCATTATCTGTTCAACTATTGAATTCATTATCTTCACGGTCACGCAAGACACAGCATGGGCTCGTGCCTAAATCTATTCTCGTCTTGTTGTCATGATTTTTTTTTTGTTAAATGAGCGCAAAGATTTTCTGGTCATCATGGGTTGCCTGCCGGATTTTATCCTCTTCGAATGATGATTAGGATTATCATCGTCAGTGCGGGCTTCGGGTGATTAAATACACCTTTAATTAAATAAAGATTAAAAACAAGAGAACTTTTGAATACATTGGCACAAGTGCGTGTTCCTTATAAATTCATGAAGTATAAGTAAAGATTTAGTATAACTACAGATAGAAAATTAAGTTTTGCAGACATAGGGTTGTAGATGCTGAAGTTTTACGAACCTGACCGAGAGTGGTTTGCTCAGGTCTACGTGATCGAATTAGCTAAAATAGGCACAATAGATGCCACGGAAAAGTTCCCTTGTGTGTGAACCTGGACAGAAAAAGGAATAAAAAGAGTGCAGATCCTAAACTCAGAGAGTCATTTAGCCTCAGAGACTTCGTCGGATACAGAAAAAAAGTCTTCCATTTAAATCCCACTATAGTATATGAAACACGATCAAGTGAGCAACTCGGAATTGAAGATGGCTTTCTACTGTGCCCTGATATAGGCCGCTCTGACATAGATATCTATATACTTTATTACTAACATATATGCAAGAATAAGACTTTGTGCTAATATATGCTTTACGGGATTAGTGTGAACGAGAAATTACTGTGTTGTTCTTTCTAAGATGAAGGAAATTTTTAAGGTTTTTTTTTTTTTTGACGCATTAACACATAGAAAAGAGAAAAGATTTAGCAAACGTTACGATTGAATTGTTTCGATTATAAAATTATTAGTGTTATGCAGCTTTGGCAATGGTTACGTTTATTATTAATTCTGCGAGTTCTCGTACACGGTCTTCGACCTCAATGCTAATGTTGACAATTCATTGATTCAATTAGTGATCTTGTATTGAAATTGGGCCTCGATAGACCACTTTTGGTTACATGAAGTAATGGCCGTTACCATTGCGAAATAGTGGCGTGCAATACACGTCACCTACGTGGGTACTTTAGGTTTAGGTTTGATAGCTACTTAACGCACATTTGTTGATTCTACTCCAATAGGTTATAATGGAACAATTCAGGCTCTTTTTTTTTTTCAATTTTCTTACTAAAATCTTAGATTATCATATTTCGGATTGTTCATTTTCGGATGCGTTGAGTGGAATTTTAATTTTATCGAAACTTAAATTTTTTATGAAACGAGCCTAGGTCTGAAAACCTAATCTAACCTAACCTAACCTATCCTAAAAAATATTTCAGCTAATCTGCCTAGTGTATATTATAGCTTGTTTGTTGCGAGTAGAGTACCAGACCCGCAGTCGTGAGGTATGGGTTTCGGTCCCTCAATGATTTTTTGTAAATGTGTTGGCCCCTAATATTAGCGTATTGCAAGGTTACGCTTTCGTTTACCTAAAACACTTTTTTCCCATTATAATAAGATCGAAATTGGTTGAAAAGTTTCGACAGGTACATAAAAAGTAGCATAGAACTTCTTTGAAAAATCCTCGAACATCCCTAGGAAAATCATATTAGAAGATTGGTTCTTTGTTCATTAGGCGTCTTGACTAATATATGTCAGGCAATACTGGTACTTCAATAAAGTTCTTTTTATTATGTACTGTTATTATAGTAGCTGCAGAATTTGTGTATATGTTTGTATTTGTAAAGATACCCACCACTGATACCCGAATATAAGGGAAACTATGTCTCCTGCTATATAAAAGATTGACAGCAGGACGGAAACCGGGTTAACGCTCTGCGTAAACCAAGGCGGGAGCCAGAACACGAGCAGGTAGAAGCTCTGTAGCGATGAAGAATTGTGTATCTTCTTATAGGCCCATTTGCCTAATCGAAATACCCTGAAAAAACCTTTCTTATTTAGATGTTAGAGGAGTCAGTTATAATATATAAGAACTCCGCGACAGCTATTGAATAGACAAAACTCCCGAATATTAAATAGAAACACTAATGAAAATAGAATATTTTATTTTGAAGTGGGCCTATTCATGCTGTTCTATATGTCTCGCGCCTAAAACATCGTCAGACATTCTAAAAAACCGTTCGCTGAAATTCAGGCTTTTTACTAACCCTTGTTGAGTTTTGTGATAGACTAACTTTGAAGTGTTACCAAAGAGACGAACATTAATCCCCATAAGTATCCTCAGCTAATTGATTATAACTATACAAAGATTTCTAAGCAACAAGATGTCTTTTTTTCTTGTTTTTTTTTGCTGACATCGAATGATGGAGGCTCACAATTTGGTAAATCTGCCAAACATTTCAAACAGATTCGCGGTCCTCCAGTCGCTTACGAAATGTTTTGCGCGCAAAATGTCCCAATGAATACTATAGGTCTAGGCATAATAACTATATGAAGAACTAACTGATATATACAGTTTGACGAAGTGTTGCTGATCAACCTGAATTTTAGGTAACTCTGTTTCGATGTATACAGCGAGAGAGGATCGACTGACCTAGCTGTAAGAAACCATTTTATGATATTATCAACCGTGCAGTTCTTGATTAATAAAGACACGTTTTTAGAATATCCTATATATAATAGTTAAAAAAGAAAAAGCAATACTTATAATATCTGGACGGCGCAAGGTCTATTATAGATAACGGCAGCTTAGACGCAAGCCTATATACCTTCTATATCTAGGTATTTCAAGGTTTTTTTTTCGTATGCGGTCATTATCGAATTAAACGCTCTCTCGGAGTCACATACTACCTAACCATACTACTAACTTATCCACTTATAATCAGTATTTAACTCTTCATGAATGAAGGTAATTGGGTATTAACAACGTAACTGCGTAATGTAGTGTATGCCAATGTAGCCCGCAGTACGTTCAGGCCAGATCATGAATAAGAAGAACAACATCGAAGACATGTACAAAATCCATACTATATCTTCAATTGACGTTCACTTCTTTCCATCAAATGACGGCCTTCTTGCTTGTTGCACTAACAAATCCTCACACGCGGCATGGAATTTTACACGCGTTTAAACTGATTTGAACAATGACTTCTTCTAGCTTGCCTCCCATACTTGAAAACTTACCCTGCCCGCAGGGTACACTCATGTCGCGCATATCGTCCAAAAGCAAACTTGAAAAGGCTGCCACACGCATGGGCCAACATTTAGCAAGATTCAACGTCACACCGTCCGGCACGCTGACGGTTACCGCGATGATTTTGTCTTACCTGATAGTCATCTCGGAAAGCGATACCCCACACAGTACACCACCCCACCTCTCAGGCTATCTCATAGCCGATATCCCACATCTTGTTCTGGCCCAGGAGATCTTCGACGCTTTGGCCTGATAGCCAGTAATCAAATATTGACTGAGGATAAGCATTATCGTCAGTTTTTTTTACATTGAGGTTTTTGCCATGATACTTAGGTAGGTCACAAATGTTTGCTAACAATAGAGAACGAACATACGAGTTCCCGTTGCCTCTTCTTACCGATCAAAATACTGTGCTATTGCATTATTTACGAATTGTGCTTCATAGCATGGCAAATCCGCAAAGCAATAAGGGTTGGCTAGCGCGTTCGTAACATTGGGTTGAACTGGATTAGCATTGAAATACATACTCCTAATAACCTATAGGCACTTCAAATCGAGATTGTCCCGACGGCACGAAGCAGAGCGGGAGAAAAAAGCTTCGGTATCAAAAAGTTACCGAACAACCGCAACAGCACTGAAGTTCTCAGTTCGGATCGAAAAGGTACCCCGGTTGAGAACTTCCTGATAATCTGTAGACACCGTTACGACACAGAAAGATACCATTTTCCTCAACGGCAGCCGGTATCAGACATTCAGGTAAATAAAGCGCTTCAGTTTCTTGTAACGCCCGCTATGCACGCACGCTAGCCGAACGAATGACGCAGGCGGAAAACAGCGTTTTATAATAGATAATATGCCTTGTTAAGAAGCAACTCTTAATATAATTATCACGCTGACAACATGCACAAGTGACTCGCGTAAGAATTTATATCGTACAACACGAATAACTGTGCGAAAATCTCAATTATATCCTTAAGATAAATCAAAATGTGTGAATCGTATAATATGGGAAGACGAGCTTGTCACGTAAATTTTACGATTCTATGGCGATTTTATAGTGGCATTTTTCTGATAAGTTCGACGAGGTTAGCGTCATCATCAGACGCTTTGTATATTGTAGATACAGTTAGGGTAGGAAGCTGCTGAAAGGTGCCGGCTGCTGCAGATCTAAGGATTAAAAGTTGCCAAAAAAGCAAATTGGATATGTCTGTAAGGTATCTTAGTTGTAAAGTAAACTGAGATATTGCGTTGGATACGTATTTTCACTAGAACCAAGTGTGAACATTTCTCTAACCGGCGTATTCATTCACTGATATATTGTGTTTTATCTCATCTTATAAATTGACACTTAGCAGTATTTGTTTAACGGACACTATGTTGTTTATATGCCGATAAACGTCTTCCAGAGAGCTAGGTTTCGTCAAAATATGTACACACACCAAAACCCCTTCTGTTATCAAGCTACTTGCTATATATATATATATGATAGACCATACATATATAGCAAGCGTTACCTTCAACAAAGCTACTATATTGCATACAAATACCAATAACAGAACCTGACCTTCCTTCCTTTCCCTGTTTTGTAAATGAAAACGTTTCAAATACTTTCTCATCGAATAATTTCGAAATGGATGTGGTAGGCTGCTTGTCTGCTTCGTCAATAGCATCAACCTATCGTCATCATCATCTTGCAGATAGCTATAGAAGTTTCTTTCGTACAAATATGAAAAGTTGCCTAACTTCGTTTATTCAGAACACATATAACATAGGCCATAATAGGGAAACCTGAAGGTAGTTTAGATAGGCTAGAGTGGATTTGTGCTGCCGATAAGGCTACTTACTGCCTGAGAACCGTTAGATGTCTTACGGATCTGCATCACCACGTCGCGAATAGGGTTAACGTCGAGGTAATTTCTCTGCAGTGTTCGAGATGCAGTCAACGCTGGAGAGACTGTCACAGCATGCAGCTTTTTCAGCGAAATCTGCAAATAAACTGGAACGCACATTAACAGACAAGATACACAAACAACGCTTTGTACAGACACACGACAGCTTCTGGCAAGGTCGAACCTGCCCGTACAAAGATGAAATTATTATAATCATATTTGTAAACGTTTAGTTTAAAAAAAGGCAAAACTTTCTTCGTCCATTTTGTTAATAGCGGACCAGTGTACGGCGATAACGTTAACTTTTCTCTTCAACAGGTGTCTTCATTGAATCGGCAGATTAATATATGAATTTGCAAAAGGTAGACATTGTAGAAAATGAACGCATTTCAAAGGTCCTACGGAACTTGCGAAACGTAACACTTGATTTGTTTAAAGGGGAGGAAGGTTAATTGTAAAACATCTGTAGAACGTGAAAGACTGGACATGTGCTGTTTTATATAAACATCTATTGTTTGGTGATGTCGTATATATATTTGTATGTTACCTGAACTTAGCAACCCATCGTTATCACTAGTGAAAGAATTATGCTCGAATTTAAAATTTTTAAATGCTAATCAATCTACACAGAGTAATAAATCGACGTAAAGAATTGTGAGAAAAAAAGAGATTGCCCCTGAGGGCTTGGCAACGCATTTAATAAACAACAGTAGACACTTCATTGCAAGCGGAGAACTACGAAGCAGTTGTTATATAAAATAAATCGCTGCTCATTTCCTTCGCGGTCTTTTTTTTTATGTATATAAACTTTCATGAATTGTCGTAGTGGGCATGCGTTTGCCCGCTTTCCTGGTGCCACAAGAAGGCCAATTCTTTTTAAACCAAAATAAAAAAAATTAGCCTTGACAAAGAAGAGCGCCTCGCTTTCGAAATTTGAACAAAGTTTAGCTATTGGCCCGTTATTCGCGCTGGGCGAAGCGCAAACGAGATTCACAGTTTGCTTTTTTACCGATATCGACGGCCTACGTTATTGCCAGTTTTTATGCAGCTTCTAAAAATCGGAGTAATATTTTTATGAGACAAATCTTGAAATCCTTAGGGCTTAGATTTGACGGGCTTAAAAAACCATTTTGAATACAGCCGAGTTTTATACGAAACTTAACGATCGTTTTGAAGGGGGGAATGCCAGTTACCAATCGGCTCCTTCGCATAAATTGCAACGGTTAATCTGTTTAAAAATAATTGCGTTTTTTTGCAGTTTCCATCCTTTTTGCCTTCCTAAGCGTTTGTCTTCCCACGATCGTTGAACCGCTGTCTGCTCAAAGTTTAATCTCGCTGGACCCCTTTGTAGATAAATAGTTTTTGAAGATGACTAGTGAATGGCCAGGTCTTGAGTTGATACTTCAACTGCGGTAAGTGGTAGTTAAATATAATGACTATATATACACATATGTAGTATTACTACCTGCTACCAGTGAACTGCGGTATAATCTGCTTCCTGCAGCCGTCATACATAGATCTGCGCCGCATTTACCTATTATAACCTGCCCAATTAAAATACGACTAGCGCTCGTGTATCTTTACATTCGACCGCGCTACCGGAGTATGTATTCAACATATCGCCGAATATCCTTGCCGTTCACAGTCAGTTGCCGGCAGGGGGCCTGGCTGTACAGAGTCACTCGGTTCATGATAGGGAATGGCCCATGATACTTCAGCTCTAAGTCCTTAGAGGATTCTGGTATTAGCCGTTCGGTATTTACCGTCACGTTTGTGCCGTCCTTGAACTCCCGCGGGGTAGACGTGTCTTCCTCAAACAGCGCGTTCATATGCCGTCACCGATTCCAAAGCCGCCGGTGCGTGTCCCGGCGCAGATCCGTAATATTCCGCCTTTCGGCGTTCCCACCACCAGAAAGCTCTCTAGGCAGTACTAAATTAATTTTAGACTAATTAGAATGACATCCTCACCAGATTTTCCTTTGTCAATGTATTGCGCGAAGCTGCTACAAGTGAATCCGGCGGACATTGAAATTGGATAATTTTAGAACTAAACGGCGTACAGAAATGTATCAAAGGCTGATGAAAACGTTAGGTGAATGGACCTTAAGAGAAAGCACCGTAAACGTAAAGAAAAAAACGGGGATTGGGGTGTTGGAGATCAGCGAGTCGGTAACCAGATGTCAAAACCCCAACGACAATCGAGAGGATTTTTGACGAAAGCAAAGCTTTTAAAATCTAGTGATTCTGTCGGCCAAAGCTAACATCTCATATGTAACGTGTTACAGAAGAATAACTTAAATCTTTCAATTGCAGAAACCAAGTAAAGAATATGTCGCCCGTGAATCGATTCCAGGCTGGTTAAGAATGCAGGTTATGTATTCCAATGCAACATGCGGACCTTTAATTAATAAAAAAGCAGCATGGAACATATGGCTGCTGCAGACCAAGAATGCATCTTTATCGTCAGACGGAGAGCGATCAGGCGAGAGAATGGCGCAAAAAAGATCGATTTGGGTGGCAGCGGATGACTGTACTTGCAGTGGATATTCGGTACTTTTTTTTTTTTTTTTTACTGTAAATTTTACTATAAAACATTTTACTATAAAACATTCGCTGACAGTGCATACAGCTGGCCATTTCGAAATACCCATATCCCATTGGCAAGGCAACAAAAAGCGTACAGCCTGGTTACCTGGCGACAATGTTGGACCGTGTCCCAAATATTTAATGAATTGAGTAATGAAATATTCAACGTTAGCTTTAACTCACTTATTGTCCCGATCTAAGTTCGTGTAGCTACGAGGTTGTCCTTTTGAGGATTTATTTTGAGAAATCATAGGCAAAGAGATCACATATAGGAAAGCGAACGGAAGGTACCTAACTGTCTAGAAAAACGCATGGACAAAATGTGGTAGTAATAAAAAAGAGTACCTCTAACGTATAAATAATTTCAAGCTCAGCCGGATTCGTCTAAGACAGCTATATATATATATATATATATATATATATATATATATATTTGTGTGTATGTGTTTGTGTGTGTCTTGTGCAAGTGGACTGACTTTGTTTTGGCAATGTCTAGTAGGTACGCACGCCCTTCGAACCCTCGTTCTGCGCCTATATAGCCATAAAAAAAAACGTATCTATTCAGAATTTCACATTTTGTTTGTACCATTATGATATATGTGCATTCGTTTTTCAGCGACAACAAAGCTAAATTTCTCCTAATGGCTTATTTTTCCTAAGGCTTTGCCTATATGTACATACATATATAATGGCCAACCCTATAGTAGCAGCTAAAGTATGTGGATGTAACCTTGCCTTCGTTATTTTTGCAAATAGGCCAATCGATCAATAGAAGAAAATTGCTTCGCAAGTCATAGGAAAAGGCCTATAGGCGGTTCAGTTTTACGATTTCTATTATAGCAGTCTTTGCGAAAGTTTATCGCGCATTGTTGTATTGGTGTCAAACATTGATATCGAAAAGTAGCGGACAACTTTGCGGTGCTTCGAAAACGACGACAGGTCAAATCATTAGGCTGTCGACAGGGGCTTAATCGTTAGTCAGGTGGTGACATTGAAACGTCCTATTAGTGAATATAACTTTAAGCGGTAGTAGCATTAATTAGATTTGTAAATATAGATAAATAGAATTAAAATGAGTTGATTAATTTTAAGTGAATTAAAGAAAATTTATCTAGAATTGCCCTTAATATAATTTTTGCGCCGCAGATAACGTTGAGTTCCGAGTTTCATATCGTCTGATAGCGAAACAAAATGAAAATAGTCACTTTTGATGCCCTTTAAAGCCAACCACATTTTGTTACAATATTCTTTATATATATTTACTGGTACGAGCTCTGTAGACAAAGTTTTAATATATGATACGTATTTTAATCAGTTTGCACAACTAAACAGCAGATACTTTCCTCTTGAAGCTTTCGTTTCCGTCAGGAACAATTAATCATGGTGTCAATAGAAGAGTACATACTGGAACCTGAAAAATCAGCATTTTAAAATCTTTTGCCCTTTAACGATGCCTAAAGGCTTAAACGTTGGACGTGAAAAACGAAAAACAGTTCAGGTGCAAACGCTTTGAAAATTCACGAATTACTAATAGTCTCTGGGGGCAAAGTCAGCAATATGTATATATATATATTGGATGCACCAAAGAGTTCTATTTGAGCTGTACGGTAGTGCCTCGGATCACTTTCTCGGAGTGTCCTCGAAGGCTGCCCCACTGAAGCAGAACGTCTCTCCATGTCTGGCGGAAGCTGGATTGAACAGTTCCACTGCAATAAAGCTACCTAATGAAAGCTGGCTTTTTTTTTTTTTTGAACGAACAACGGATTTGTACACTTCCCTCATCAACTGCGTGACTCCTTAGCGTGGAATCTGAAAGAGCTGACTTTTAGTTATAGCGGCGGAGCCGATCAAAAAATCTTGTCGCACCATTAATTCTGCTACGTTGTTTTCTTCCAAGAAAGGTCGAGCGTCGACCAAAACGTCATTATGAGCGAAGTTCTCTGTATGCAGGTACTGCTCTGTAAATCAATATAGCTAACTGTATGTAACTGACTATAAAAATGTCAAGAGAAATGCTCTTAGGAATGACTCCGAGGGGGGATCCGGAAATGGAGATGGCACGAAGATTTGCTTATGAGAGGGGTCTATTTTCGATAAGAAGACAATTGGTTAGTCAACGAATGAGCTCATACTTAATTTAATGCTAATTTTAAATACCTAAAATGAATCAAGGTGCACGAGTGATGACGAAATGCGGAAAGATAAAAACATAGCATAGGTATCTAGATTTATAGATGTTCTACATGGTAGAAACTGATCTATTCTTCAACAACACTTTATTAATTGAATAAAGTATAAAAGGAGTTTCGACTTCATTCAACATCAAAAAGTTACGATTCTTTGACAAGTACTATTACTGAATAGGCCGTCAATTGTTTGTTTCGCTGCCCATCGTATTATCATTGCTTAAATCACGTGAATGTTTTACATATCGGCCTTATTTGCAGAGCGCCATTTCTACTGGTAACGCAATGGGTCATTGTTTTTTTCGTTTTGTGCCTTCGCTTTTGAAGCATTCCCATGTTCGGCCAAATTTAATTAAACCTTTTGTCATTACTTTTCGTACGAAACAGAGATATTTAAATAAGCCAATGAATAAGGTACTTCGGATCAATCGAAACAATTCAAGATCTGATCAATCTGTTCTCGACTTTAAGTAACGTATATACGATTGATTACGTCCGGATATGGTCAATGAATCATCCGGTACGATCACAACGTCGCAACGCGAACGAGTCGTAAAGTATTTTCAATGTGGTTCAGGGAAGAGCGTCGTACATGATACTTCTGCAATGTTTTGTACTACTGCAAACCAAATTAGAATATTATGTTTATTTGGACTAGACTCTGTTACGGGAGACATCTTACTTAAGGCAGATTGATTGAAGCGAGAACTGAGTCGAATGAAGGTACATTGATGTTTCTAATCAGGTAACAGCGTCCCAAAAGTTCATAAACACTGCACAAAGGTGATAAGTTGTCAACAATGATGAAAAAGGGGGCAAACGTGAACCTATCTAGGCTATATGTTACATGGGGCCAGTCTCAATGCAATGGCTGTTTGAGATTGAGTCGAACACAGAATAGAATCGATCTTGGCATAGACCAGAGCGAAGGAGAGCAAGTTTTGACATACACACGTGAAAATAGCTCGTTCAAATTATGCCTAGGATGTGTAGGAGTTTTGAATAATGGCCCAGCATGTTTGCAACGATTCATTGTATATTGAAAAGACGCACTTTTTTCTTGCAGTGTCAATACTATTAGCGCTGAAATAGGCTTAATAGAATACTAGAGATGTTTTTTAGCAAAAAACTTACGACAAAGCATTCTTATTATTAAATTCATGCATGTTTAATTTAACTTCACCTCGAGGATGCTCGCGCAATTTTATATAGGAATCTACAAACAAAGATACTCATCTTTTTCGTTCGTTTTAAGGGGACCTTGAATAATTGAAATCTGGCTTTTTATCACGGGCATTAGATCTATCAGAGTTAAATTAGGCAAGAATTGAATAAGAGCTCCAATGGAAAACAACGGACGATCAGTTTTTCTCTACGCTACACAGCCATCGAAGTTTCATTAAAAAACTAGCCAGAGTCGAATCTATAATTAGGCGAGATCTTCTTTAACCTGCGATCCGTCACTTCGTTCATCTTTGTACTTACTACGTTTGATTGTACTTCTATTAGCACGCTCTTTGGATTACTTAACAGTCAACATACTCACAAAGCTTTAAGTTGCTTGGGGTGGCTTACACTTATCCTCCGAATTCACGTACAACTTCCCTCGACCATTTACGATAAACGGTAAACCCACTTTCTCGTATATGAGACACGTATACCCGTATTGGGCTATATACTATACGCTCCATTTTTCTCATATTTTTTTAGTTTTTCTGGTATCTATCTTAGCTTTGACAAAGCTTCTTGATGATCGACTTGGAACGAATAACGTCGAGCGATCCTAATCTCCATAAACTCTTCGCTATCAGCCGTTCAAAACATTATTCTGCTGGCTTTTGTTCCCGTTCCATGTAGAAGAAAAACTTCTCTGAGCTCGCGCATTATATCAGGCCTCTTCATCCGTCAGCTACGTTTGCGCCTAAGCTGGGATTAATCTGATGCCTAGCGCCTGGCCATGTATATGGTATATCCATAGCAGGTTACTATATTCATGCCCTAACCAGGCCAAAGAGAGACTGCACGCGGAGGACGCCAACAGGATCATTTGTTTGCGAATGAATATTCATAAAAACAAGTAGAAAATGAAAATGTTGGGAGTATCGCATTTACTCGAATACCAATCGAGCACAGACTACTAGCGGCAATAGGACACGATGCGCTGTTAACAGAATTTGATCAAGTTTCTAATGTGGCGAACATTTCAGTCGGTGTATGGACGTCTGGCAGTAATCAGGACTGCGTTACTATTAGAAGTGATGAGTCAATAAAGCACTACTCGATACGCAGCTAGATACTTCTAGCTTTACAGTCGTCACTGCCCCTTGCCACAAATGGATGGCTGCCTGTAAGAAACGAGCCGTGTGTCTATCGCCACATTCAGGCCTAGACCATTACGTGTCCTTAAAAGTGGCAATTAACCATGCGATCCACTAAGCTATCACGGGTACCTATACGTTTAGGTAGACGCGTTGCTGTCAGCTTGTTATAATACTGTAAAATTGTCTTTCACCTATGAAATTGATCTTTGTTATTATTGGTTTTAGCGGCGTTACAAAGGTTACATCTACGCATAGAATAACATCGGACCTAAACTACCCGATATCATCTCATGTCACCCATAAATACGAAATTAAACCAGCGACTAGATAGTAAATGCGAAGCCTTTGTGACGTGCTGAGGGCTGCGTTGATCTAAGGGGGCATCCCTCAGTGGCGTATGGAAAGCATTGGAAGGTACAGAAACTCGAAAAATTAATAATTCCCTTACCATGAAATGTAACACTTGTTCGTGGCCTACCTTGGCAGGGCCGTCAGATAACAGGTCTCAAAGTAAGGCCATCTAGAATGTATCTGAAAACGCAGAAGTCTCGAAAATGGATCGAACTAGCGAAGAGAACGATATGATATACAGACCAGCCTCGCAATTTGGTTCTATTACTACGCATAAAATATATGGACAGGTAGAATGAGGAGCGATTTCGTCCACGCTATTTCTATGTAATGGGCTATTTTTAGCTGTCTATTTTAATCGGCCAGTTACTTTTGCCAGCCACGCTATTTATTGCCAGCTTTTCTAGATAAGACAAATTTCAAATATTTGTCAAAACAAACTGTAGAGAATAGAATCCCCCAATGTGCGAATGACTCAACCTTCGCAGGTACTCTGTCAACTTTAGCATGTGGATCAGTCTGATGAAGCTTTGTTTAATAACGAGCCTAAAATGCGCTAGCTCCTTACCTAGGCGCAAATGTCAACTTTTCATTTCATAGGACAGAGAACTGCAATGCTTTGGCTATACGAGCGATCTCTCGTTCTTGATGACACAACAAAGTATACACCTATTTTGGAGTTTATCGACAAACAAGTAACAAATTTAGTCAACTAACAAACGTTACGTGTGCTATTTTGCCAATATGACGTTTCGACGAAAGTTAGCATTTTCGTCTGCTTACTGCAAAAATCGTCAGGAAGCACAACCTCGATTCAGACCCTTCTTCTTTGCAGCCTCAGTCACTATCAACGAAGAAAAAAAAAGATAAAAAAATGTCTGTAAATGCCCACGTTCTTGAGCAAAGAATACACTGTCCTTGGAATAGTACGCAGCGACTGGTCGTTATTGAACTGCAGACTTCTTCAATCAGGATTTTAGACTCGCTACAAATGAAATACGTAAGTACCTATTCCGGTACTGGCCTATTCCTATCCTGGCCTAGTATATTTTTTTGCGATTTTCAAGTATGGCCCATAATGGTCGTTGATAATTCATCACTACCACCTGCACTGTAATGAAGATCCTTCTTGTTCATAATGTAAAGCGAACCTACTTATTGCAACATAGAACTTAACAGAAGTGCTTTTGTCTGCGGATAAAAAAGAATAGTTTAATATCGTTCAATATACGTGTCCATAGTATTTAACCCGACTCTACGTAAACAACGTACGCCCGTCAATTGTTATGTCATCAAAGCCAGTTCGACGCTGGTTCTTTGATCTAACCAAAGTTTACGCGTTTTAGCACAAATAGATATGTAAGCACCTATAAAATCAGCCCTAAGAACAAATACGAATGGACATCATAAATTACTTCTATATAAATTATTAAATAATCAAAAAATGTATCATTAAGAGCTGAAATATACACCATTTTACTGGCAGCGTTTGTACATCTATTCTATGTAAGTAATTCTCAGCCCACCCAAGCAGAGACCAGCCCTGAGTGTCAAATGTAGTTCACAATGGTCGCTCGATATATATGTATATATATATATATATAGATATTGGAGAAGTTATAATATATCCGCACCTCAGCTGCGACCTTAGGACCACTGTAACTATTGTGTGGAAGCGGATACTTGCTGAATTATTTATCAAAGTATACGTAGATGGATGGTCTGTTAGTCTAATCTATTAGTAACTACCTAAAATAGAATCAAGTGACGTCTACATGACTCACTCTTCCCTAATGCTCATTAATCCCGTCTAAGATGTCGTGAAAGTTTGAGTTTGATAAGCTTCTACATGGTAATTTTGTTTCACACTGAATATCATGGTCGTCGCCAAGCCCAGGCGAGGAATAAGGGAATGCAAAGAATTGCCTTTCAAAGGATGTTACTACAGCAGGCTCACTTGTACCTGCGAAAAACAACTCTGCAGATCCGGAGGTCTGCACGGAGCGACTCAACTACCTGAATTCCAAACCTGACGAACGCTACTGTTACGATCTGTCCGACAGAAGATGTCCTACTTTCCTAACTAGAATCTAGGACCGATCCTTCACAACAAGCTAACGCCAGACATAACGTAACATTGGGGTGCGAAAAATTAAACGATCTCAATTGATAACATATTGTAAAAGTTATCTTCTGAATGGTTACGTGCGATAATACTCTGCTAGGCAGAGGACACCCGAAAGCAGGCTCTTTTTTTTGCACTGAACAATGAACGCTCAATGCTCAATTATTCACATTGGAATAGCATTATGTCGGTAACAGGGCTACTACGCAGAGACACGGGAACAAACCTGAGGTAGACAAAAGTTGTGCTCGAGGGCTAACTTTCAACTTGCCAGTACCCTGAAAACAACTGTAAAATCCAAAATCCAGGAACTAGGTCGTTACTCTGACTGGGCAGCGATTAAGTCAATTGTCGTAATTTCATAAATATATTGTGCTGGCAGCTAACAAACCTGATATCACTATTTCTATCGGCCGCAGTACAGATTTCAAGCATGACTCACGCTCGTGCGATGCTACTTCATGAACATCTAGTTAATAACTACGTGACCCCGACACATTTAACTACTTGGTTTCATGAATCATCGTTATTATGTTTTATTTATTGTGTAGTCTATTACCTAAAGCTCGGGATCTGAATAAGGCCTTTCAAGGCCAGACAGATCATTCGTCAGACTTCGGTGGGGCTCACGTCGATCATATTGAAGAGACAACTCAGTTCCTAGAATAAACCGACTTGGCAAACGTATTTTTATAGCGAGAAAAACCGCCTGTAGATGTTAACGACGCTCTTTTAGAGCGGCAGAGCGACCAACGATAGCTTGATTAAATTACGTTTGCCGTCAACCTCAGACGCCTTCTACTCGCCAGCATATTCAGCCGGACTGGGCTATTTTGTTTTAAATAAACTGTGCCCCCCGAATCGTCCCTAGGTTTGCCTACATGATCACATAACGTAACTTGCCGATAACGTTTCTTTTAAATCTTTGGGAGTAACAAAAGCACATGTTATCGATTTCGCTTCCGCTTTGAAGTTATGCCAGTCAGTTCCAAGGCATTCATCATGCACTCTCAATATTTTAGAAGGCACATGTCTGCCCACTTTACGAGGTTGTTTTGTCGTTACTGTTTTTTATCGATCGTAGAGATGGTAATTTATCAAGCCATAAACACAAGCCGACAAGGTTAGTGCATAGCGTGTCGCCAATTACAGCGCATGTCGCGAACAAAAAGATAACCGTCGCTGCTCGAAATCGTACACCCAAAAGCCTTGGTCGCATGTCCCGGACGACAGCGTCGTCTGTCAAACAATATGCTGTAGTTCTGGCTTGACAGGTCAACCAGGAAGTGCTGCAGAGAGAGTGGGAACAGAATGACCTGTGCCTGATAGTTGGTAGGTCTAATTGAAACTGAAATGGATTGGAGGGGACAGGCTGCGCTTCGTGCGCCCCGCGCAAGCTGAGCCCGGATCAATTGGAAACAGATTATCAATAATAATAAGCAAAGAAAACGTACATTAAGTACAATACACTAATGTGAAATGTAACCGTATTCGATTCATTAGCAGACGAAAAGCTAACGTTCAGCCTCGTAGAAATACGAAGCGCAGAGAAGCTTCAATTGGCCTACTTTTCACTCTTCTCAATTCCAATACAGTCCGCAACTAGAAAATGATTTAATCAGTTAGCCCGAACAACCTATGCACTTATATTGGTTGGAACTGTTTCAAAACATGTCCTTATATCAGTCCGTTAATCTAGACAATCCAGTAATAGAATTTCTCACAATCTTCTAAATCCTACTACGCCCACTGATGGCACGTTTTTAAGCCTGCTCTCGGCGTTTGTGACTGCGGTTCGTTTGCACTTAATAGTATTTTAATGAATTACATTCCGATCGTCTAGGTACGATTCTTGGTCTATACCTAATGGAAATTTCACTCACTCAATGAGGGATACGAAGAGGCCGCAGAGCTGGAAGCCATTAGGAACTCCGAATGAAGGTCGTCCAGAGTAACTGCTTCTACGTCTGATAGCCAACGGAGACCAATTCAACCCACTTTATAGCTTATGATAGACTTGGAAAGTTTAGGAACGCGAACTCAAGTTAAATATTTTTCCCTTGCTTCCGTTGTGTATATTGGAAATATTGAATGGCCCTGATGTTACAAGGTTAGCTATATCCTACGACTGTTGGAACGTTTTGTCATATAACATGTCTTGCTACAGCCTTGATCCTACTAAGAGCGCTCTACCGAACCGTAGGGACTGATACGGTTGACAAACGACGCCCAGTATTCATGTACGTTTTTTTTTTTCGTATTGTAAAATTAAAGTATGTAGTTCTGGAGAAAGATACTGACTACCTACATAAATTTTCAACGTCAACTCAGCGTTGGGTAATTTTCGTCTGACAAGCTGCGTAATACGATGATGTTAAAATTCGTTTACTTACTCCTTTTGGTTCAGTCG